TAACTCACACATAATACAGCTGCGGAAAACATAAAGAAGCCACAACACAATTTTTTGTTTCACTCATTTCTCAATTTATAGGAGTGTGTCTGTGAATAATATGTGTTTTTTTTGCAAACTCTACCCTGGTTCTTCTCTGTTCCACACTGATGAAGGGCTTCTTCCTTGCTTTATGAGTCCTGCTTCTAGGAGCCTGATACAAACTGTCCTAGCAGTGCACTTCACACCTGCATTTAATGTTTCCCATTCCTTTTGAAGGTCACTTAATGTCATCCTGCGATTCATGAGAAACTGTTGGATAAGTTACTGGTCACCACTGGCGTTAGAAAGTCACTTCTGCCCTTTACCTGGCTGGTTTCTGGCCGTTACCAGTGTCTCCTGCTTCACATTATTCTTGTGTACTGCTGTCTTAGAAATTTTGAACCTGGAAGCACCCTGCTGCTCAGCATAGCTTCTGCCAGGAGAACCAGGATTAAACCAGGATTTAAAAATGCAGATTTGTTTAAAAATATAGAGTGGGATCTTAATTTTTTCCATGGCTGAATATCCACTGACCACATTAATAAGTACAACAAGAACCAAATAATGGTACAACTAGTACCAGAACTGCTTTAACTGTAAACAATTTGTGCATTCAGGGACGCCTTCCTGCAAAACCGGTGTCGTAGTAAAGCCACTATCCATTTGACCTCTATAATTAACAAAGTGTTTGGTAACACTTTCTATTAATGTCATGTCTATAAGAATCTATCAACAAAGTCAGAACACAAAATAATGCACCAATAAAGAATAATAAAACTTAAATGCAAATGATTTAAAGAGAACATGGATGTTCCCGGATGGGATGGAAAACATACTGTACACAGCAAAAGCAAAATGGTTGTGAGCTGCCCACTATCCATTATGAAGATATTGTTAATTATCAGTTTTTTTTTTTTTTTTTTTAAACATCGTGGGTAACATTGAAGCGAATGAAAGCGACTAAAAATGGAAGTTTAATTTCTTTATTTCTGGCTGTATACAGTATAAAAACTGCAGAAGAAAACGTGTAGAAGAAATACTTCAGTGTATTCACGTGTAAGTATAGACCTCATGCGTGTTAGTTCATTTTTTTAATTATATCTCATTTATTTTAATTATTGCTTTCTTCAGTATATATACTTTATATATTTATAAATATCTTTTTTTTTTTTATCTGGGCTAGTTAAAATTAATTTCAGGCTACCAAAATCTGAAGAATGGCCGTCGTATGTTAGCATCAAACTCCAGGGGAATGAGTATTAGCTTGTCTAAATTTGCATTAAAAATCCATTCCATTCAGCCGTTCTCTATTACCTTTTTAAGGTTCTTCGTGACAGTGGAAAAATGCCAAGAAAGAAAACTCGTTGAGCCTGTGCCCTGATGTGCTGCCTGGGACAGGAATGACATTTAGCCAAGGACTTAAGTTGTATTGTAAAGAACATCTCCTGACCAGGGATGGAGAAAAGGCAAACATACGGCTGATATCCTACCATTAAGGTCAGGATGACCTGATGTGATGAGAGGAATGCAGGAAGGGAGCCTGCAGAAAGATGAACTGAAAGAGAGATATTTTAATGCAGGAAAATAGTATTGAAAGATTGTGATTCTGTATCAGGGAGATGTGTCCCTTTTGTGCTGATTGGGGAGCTCCTCATGCATGAGACCAGAAGAAAAATATTCTCTTATGAAAAAGAAGGTGTCATGAAGTTATTTTGTCTGTCTGAAATCTAACTTCCAGAGGGGGGTGAGATCGTGTAGAGTCCAGATTCAACTGTATTTCGGTCCAGCCAGTTGGTCACCATTGCTTTACTAATCTCTAGCCCCACTACACATGGCTTGGGTGGTATCTAATGCTTAATATGGTCATATTGTCCATACAGTATATTGTGGTATAGGCCATTTTGACAGCGTTTTCAAAAGCAACACTATTCCCCCATGATAAAATTTACCGAGCTAGGGGGGATGGATTACCCATGATCAATTTTACTGAAGAAAAAAAACACCATGGTATACCATGCTAAGGTAATACCAACCAAGCCCACCCTGCACACTCAGAGTACAGCGTTATGGGGGAGCCTACAGTCCATACCAGGCACTGAGGATGGACTGTCCGTCGCTCACTCAATTACACACAATTACACTTAATTCACAATTAGCCAAACTGTATGTTATGAGACTCTGGGACAAAATGCGCATAACAAGAGGAGAACATGAAAATTCCACATGGACATGTGAGGTAACAGTGCTACTCACAGAGTCACCATGCCAACCAGACCCACCCAAATATGTTTAAAAAATAATTTAAAAAATCGACATTAAAAAACTAGCCCTGCATGAGTGGACAATGGCAACAATCTAGATCAGGGGTGGCCAATCTTAACTGCAAAGGGCCGGTGTGTGTGCGGGTTTTCGCTGCAGCTCCCTGATTATATTACTAATTGGAGGACTGATTGGCTGAGAAGTCCACACACCTGGGTTTGAACAGCTGACCTAAAGGTTACCCCAAAAACCTGCATGCACACCGGCCCTTTGTGGGTAAGATTGGCCACCCCTGATCTAGATGCTTATGGTCTTTGTGGAAATCTATAGGGAAATTTTAATTAATTTGTTTTCAATCCATGCCAACTGACAAAGCACTAAAATGAGATGTCAGCATGACCATGATAGAACAATGATGACAGACTGCACACAGACATGTTGTTGTTTTTAAGATGAAGATGTAGGTTAAAGTATCACACATGTTGATACAGACAAACATAATAATTTGAGCCCAAACGCACATTAATTTATCACAGGTTTTAAACGGCACTTAGATGATAAACTGACACAGTAAAATCACATTTTCATTATTTTACTGTCACCTCATAGAGGGAGCAAAATTCACAGGACAGGATTAGCAGCATCTCAATAAAATTATGAACCACAGCTCATGTCTATACTATATTATTAGGATTAAAATTGATTGGCTAATTAGTTATTGCCTGGCTCATGAAGTTAATCTCTGATGTAATACCATAGAGAAAGGTCATTCACGAAAATAAAAAAAGCAGAATGAATTCTGCAACATAATCTAAATTAAAGCTTGGATGACATCATGACGACAATAATATCTGACAAGCTGGCTGCACAGATATGTATGGAGAATATCCACAGTAATCTAATTGCAGATTTTCAGACAGAATTTCATAAATCATTTGCTTTAAAACAGTTTCAAAACAATGGGTAGATGAAACTGATTTCTTTAAGAAGGCTGTGCAGATAAAACTTTTTGAAGAAATTACAACTTGCCTAATAAAATTATTAAAACAAGTTTAGTGGGCTGAATGCGGAAAATATTCTAAACACTATTAAGCTAATTCACAGATCAGTGGATGGAACAGTTTCCAAATACAAAACCGACAGCAAATTGTTACAGACCCGGGTCATGGTGCGGCTGGGAAAAGCTGACAATCCACTTAAAGCTCCAAGACGGAGGACGTTTATTGAGGTAACTAAACACCCTGGGTGAACTACAAAATAGCAGTACCATAAGGAGTCAAAAACAAAACAGGGGGAACAAGACCTATCGGAAAAGGTTGAGGGGAAAAGACTAGGAGAGGGAGAGGGAGAGGGAGAGAGACTTAATTGCTCTTAGAAAACTAAGGCAAACGGAACAGGTGTAGGACATAATCAATTAACCAATCAAAACAGGACACAGGACAGAATAGAACAATTTACAAGCACTGGCAAGAAAATGGGAAACAGGTGGAACTAATAATAATTAACACTCACAGAAACTAGGGAACTTAATATAAAAAACTAACTACATTAACCACATACTGGGAGTTAAACACTAGGACGAGAAACACAAATAAACAGATGAGGCTGGCCCAAGACCAGCCTTGAAACCATAACCAGGGGGTTACCATTCACAGGGTCACACGCTCAACCTGTTGAGCCATGCAACAGTCAAGGAAAAGGTAAAAGCACACTGGGGCTGAAAGACCAGAAACGGGGAGGAGAACAGGATGGCCAGCGACACCTGCTGACCAAATGGGGAGGAGACACAAAGGGCAGGGTCATGTGGGCGCTGGCTCTGACAGCAAACTGTCAAACAGTGCAGTGGACTGCAAACCTTATTAGGGTATTTATCCATTGCGGCAGTAAATGCGGAAACAGAATAATTGGATTTAAGATTTTTTGCTGTATGAATAGTTTGAGGCACAAAATTAAGCTATTTTCCTTAATAAAATGCTATAGATCATACAAATTCCCAATATTTCCACTTTATACCCAAATCTTAACAAAAACTATCAGCACTAATCAAAAGTGTCTCATGAAACGATTCTGTGATTCTGTGTTTATTTTTCCTATTTTTATTGCAGTGTCTGACAAACGCAAAAGATACACATATCGCCCAATATGCGATGTACTTCTAATTAAAGCAAATAGGCTACTTTTACGTGTTTTAATGAAATGATTTTTCAGAAATGAAAATTTCACTGGGTAATCAGTTTCACTGTAATTAGGCCTACTGCAACATCTCGGGCTAGCATAAACGTAGATCAGTAATTATAGCCCTCCTTTAGTATAATTTAAAGCACTAAAAAGTAGTTAAATGCAAAAGCCGATTAATTGAATCACTCGGTACGAAGTTAGCTACTCTTTACTCGATCTAATCTCTCGTATTCTCAGTACAACACTTCATCATGCAAATTAAGTTGGATAAAATAATGCCATGACGAAAACTATGTTAATATAAAACCACCCGTTAGGATAAAACAATCTGTAAAAAACCTATAGCAACAATTAATTGTTTGTTGTGTGAACTAAATGCAAGGATGACAATCCTAAAAATTTCAACAGGTATAGCTTGCATGTGGATGTCTTGGACTTCCAGTATGTATGTAGGCTAGACATAAGTCCAGGGTCATTTTCAATTTATTAAAGCAATGCTTATACGATTCTGTTATATTGCAGTAAAAACCGAGCCTACCTACCTGCAACACAATCTTGGAGCTAAGCAGGGATACAATGGTGGTGCAGATGTTCTCGCCGCCCATGTTCTGCTGCCCCATGGTAAAGAGCATCGGTGCGGCCAGGATAAAGGACAAAATCCACATTCCGCTTATCAGTTTCTTAGTGCGGCTCTTGGACATAATACTCTTTGCTTTAAAAGGATGGCAGATTGCCATGTAACGCTCGACGCTCAAGCTGGCGATGTTAAGCACGGTCGCGTAGGAGCAGCCGTCTCGTAAGAAGTAGTAACCCTTGCAAACAGCTTCTCCAAATGCCCATGGGTGGTGCACCCATATGAAGTTGTACAGCTCAATGGGCATGCAGAGGATCAAGATGAGGAGGTCGGAAACAGCCAGGCTGGCCAGGTGGTAATGCACAGTGCTCTGCAGGTTCTGTAAGGATTTCTTCCGTACTAAAGTATACAGCGTGATGGAATTCCCCAGACAACCGACCAAAAACAGCACGATGTATATCACGGTGATCAGTACCTTTGAGTATATATCTGTGTTAACATCCAAACTAGACTCGAGGTCTCGATGGCTGCTGTTGTCATACAGCGAATATGAGAGATTCCCAGGCGCCATGGATTGTTGCGCTGAAATGCCGAAGTCTATGAAGTTGCGTCCTATCACTGTGGCATATATCTTCTGATAAAGATCACAAATAAAACGTGCGCGTTACATCTACTATAAATGCACATGAATGGAGAGCTGTCCGCCAGCCCCTACAGGTGTGAAGTAGAGATGATTGGATTGTGCATCAAAGCATAGAGGAACCGAAAGAGATGCACGTCCGTAGCCGGTCAGAACTCAGTCTGCGCGCTCGGAGAAGCCACGCTGGTTTTATTTCGCTCAGTGGAGGCGCGTTAGAGACCAAACCCTGAACACTGACGCAGATTCTTTTTATATTATAACGTGCAATTTTATTTTTAGCTATCTCTGTTTTTTAGCAATCTTTTCAAAGATTTTTCATAGATGTTTTTAATCAAGACAATGGAAATAGGAACAGAAGTCAGTATATATAAAGCAATAAAGAATACAAGATACAGTCACATATGCATATCAAATAAGCCCTGTCTTACATTTGTCCAATACAATGCAATTTATTAATGACAATACGTCAGTACCTGTTTGATTCTTTATTTTGATTATTTTAGATAAATTAATCTTTAGGTTTTCTGATTATTTTTGAATTGGACTGATCTAAGCCGAGTCATATATATAGTGGACTGGGAAAAAAGTCGATGTTCGTGTGTGTGTGTGTCTGAAGGATGCATGAATGGTAGTTTTTCGATATTTAATAAACCATTTTATTGTTCCCCAGGAAATATGTCGGTCTTTTATCTTTAATTAATGTGCCGTGCAATTTAATATCAGATCATCAGACGGCATGGGTTCTGATTCTTCATTAGGAATTGATGAGCCATTAAGAAGCAAGGTGGGGTTTTAGTGGGGTATGTTACGCGGTTCACAGAATACCATATAGGCCTACAGTAGTTCTGATGAAGGCTGAAACCATCTACGCAAGTGCTGTTTAGTATAAATCGTAAGAGAAAGTGAAAAATGATCATTTTACGGCGGTAGAGTAGAGACAGTCCTTATACATTCATTTTTCCAAGAACTGTTGGAATATCTAAATAATTTCGAAATGCAAATATTTTTATTCATGCTTCAATGGAAGAGTTAGACATGTCAGTAGAATTCTTCCGGAGAAAATAATACAAAGTCTCGCTGATTTTTTTCTCATAAAAATTTATTTAAAATTATAATGATCATTATTATTATTATTATTATTATTACTGTGAGCAAAAAAGAGAATAAGGAATGTGATGAAACCAGTCTTTTCCAGTAATTTCCTGTCAAAGTTCCACTTTTCTGATTCATGCAGTCTAACTGGGCATCTTTCTGGCCCACAGGGCAGGGAATGGGCTCACAGAGGATGATCTTCTCTTTTATTGTTCTGTTGCAACCCAAACAACACTATAATTAAACTGTTTCAGAAAAGACAACTTTAAGCCAGAATAACAAACCCCAGGGAGAATGTAAAATGTCTTTATGCATAAGGCATCATAACATACATTTGTTTATTTATTTATTTTCTTGTCTTTACTTTTCTGGCACAATGAATTTGCTGTGATTTTTATCTCCACATACAGTATGAATTGTTCAAAAGTAGGTGTATGTGCACATAAAATTTCCAACTCTGTATTTTTCATATTGACATCATGTGTGTAAAGAAATCTTGGAGACACTAAAGATATCTGTTGTTTTTCAGTCTTTATTTCCTCACATGTGATCAAAAACCTGCAGTGAGTCTAATGCTTACACAGTGCAACATAACCTGAATTGTGGCATTTGCTCTGTCAACAGCTCTGTCAAGGCTAATTAACTTAGAGCTTGAATGAAAACCAGCATACATATTGTGTTTCCAGGTACCAGTACGGGCTAAATGTCATGGGTTTGAATAGATGAGAGGGCTTCTATGAGAAGCACATTAAACACGTACTTGTTCATCTTTGTTTAAATGGCTGTGCTCTTGCATTGCACATGGTTTTTCATGAATTTATATGGTATTTAATTTGATTAATTGCTTTGCTAGTGATTGCAGTGTATTGCTGGGGTTCATGTACTTAGGAAAAGTATGAAAAAATAATGGGTACTTACACTGTAGCCTCAGCCATCTGGGGTTGTGGTGTCACCCCGGAGTTCACGGGTCATCTTTGTGTTCATATGGTGTCATTCTCGTTTCCTACCACAGCTTAAATGGGCGGTTTAGGTGGATTGGTTTCTTTAAATCGCCCTTTTTGTATTTCTGTGTATGTGAGATAGGGTGTAATCAGCCTATGTGCTGTGTGATTCCAGAAATTACCTCCAGGATTCCCATGATCCTGCACTTCATAATTGATGCGGAAAGTGGATGAATGGACAACAGTGAGAATGAGTTTCTGACAGATGGCAGACCTTATCTGCAAGTTATTCTGTTAGGCTGAAATAACAGCTGCCCCTCTGAGGAATGGATACGTTCTACCCACCTTGGCTTTATGGCAGATAAGAAACAAAACTGGTCACCTCAGTCATAGCTGGACATATGAGCATTTGGGACAGAGACAGATGTCAGAGGTAGGAATGAATGGACCTAGATGTAGAATAACATAGACATCATGTGACAAACTGTATGGAGGAGATATAAAACAGAATAATCACTCTCAAGGTAGGATTGCTGTGGCAGAAATGCTGAGTCCAGAGGCCATTGTTATTAGGCAATTGATGCCGAAGACAAATATCATTTTCAAATGTCAGGCTTGACATGCTAACTGTGTATCCAATGATATGTGAAAACCTTTCTATTATATTTGCTCTGTTTTGCTAACATTTTTACATGGGTTAACTTGGGGGCTTTCATGGAAAAACATGGTAACTAGGAATAGAAAAACAGTAGCACGTAGCTAATTACAAGGCAGAACTTCAAAATGTCCAAAATAATGAACTACCAAAATGTTTTTGTTCTCTGGATTGTATAAGATCAATATTGTCCAGATAATTTCTTCCTCCTTCTACACTTCATGGATAAAAGTATTGGGACACACCTCTGAATTGTTGAATTCAGGTGTTTCATTCAGACCCATTACCACAGTGTCACATCCGCAGCGGAAGGAATGACCCAGACTTGCCATGTAGTCGGGTTTACAAACATTTGTGAAAGAATGGGTTATTCTGAAAAGCTCAGTGAATTTAAGCATTGTACTGTCATATGATGCCACCTTTGCAATAAGTTAGTTTGTGAAATTTCTTCCCTGCAGCATATTCCATGGTCAACTGTAAGTGTTATGCAAAGTGGAAGCATTTAGGAACAACAGCTACTCAGCCACGACGTGGCAGAGCACATAAAGTAACCGAGTGGGGTCGCTTTGTTGGCTCATTAACTGCGGAGTTCCAAACTTCCTCTGGAATTAACCCCAGCAGAAAAACTGTGTGCTGGGAGCTTCATGGAATGGGCAGCTGCATGCAAGCCTCACATCAACAAGCACAATGCCATGTGTCAGATTGAGTGCTGTAAAGCCAGCTGCCACTGGACTCTGAAGCAGAGTAAATGTTTTATGTGAAGTGATAAATCACGCTTTTCTGTCTGGCAGTCTGATGGACAAGTCTGGTTTTGGTGGATACCAGTAGAACGTTTGGTGCAGGATGGTTATTGGTATGGGGTTGTTTTTCAGGAGTTGGTCTAGGCCTCCTAGCTCCAGTGAAGGGAATCTTTAATGCTTCAGCATACCAAGATAGTTTTGACAATTCTTGCTTTGTAGGAACATTTTGGGGAAGGCCCTTTTCAATTCCAGTATGACTATGCACCAGTGAACAATGCAAGGTCCATAAAGACATGGTTGGATGAGATTGGTGTGGAAGAACTTGACTGGCCTGCAAAGAGCCCAGACCTCAACCCTATCGGACACCTAATGGAGATTGTGAGCCAGGTCTTCATGTTCAACATGAGTGCCTGACCTCACAAATGCTCTTGTGGATGAATGGGCAAAAATTCCAACAGACACACTCCAAAAAGCCTACCCAGAGGAGTGGCAGCTGTTGTAGCTGATGCCAACTGCTCATCATGGTCAGGGATGTCCGTAACATGTTTAAAGAAAACATCCAAAGACATGCTATTGATTGCTAATTGAAAAGCAAATTTCCAGAATCCAAACCAGGATTTTGTTTTGACCAACCAGTTGAGTATAAAGAGTCAAAGTCACAGGGTATACTCAACAGGTTGGTTGAAACAAAATCTTGGTCTGGATTTCTATTTTCTGGACCTGAACTACCCACCTCTGTTATTTATGAAATGTCTCGCGTTTGTACATGTGCTCTTTGATGTCTCTCCAGATGAACCCCTGTCCGGTTTTGCCGTGCTGCCTGGGGTAAGATTCAAGTCTCCCACATCTCTGACCACAATGACCAGTCGAAAGATGGATGGGAGCTAGAATTTTAAACTTTTTTCCTCCATTACATGGATTTCATTGAGTTATACTCATCTAATTGCCTACTTCTGACAGACACATTAATTACTCCATTGAGTGGATACAGCAGCTTTTTTACAAAGCAAATCTGTCAGTCTAAGAGGACACTGCACAAGGAGAAGAGAAACAGACATATGTAAATGCACAAAACCACTCACTAGCATAAGGAGAATCATGCACAAACACAAGACACATATGCACACATACACTAACCCATGCAAGAGCATCTATGTAAGAGGTGCAGTTTGCATTACATTAGGCATCAATGGATGCAAATGCAAGAAACATTCAGCAGTAGGAGCCCCTAATGGACAAAGTAAATTCTGCAGAGATAGACAATATGTGTTAATGACCTAAGCCGAAAAGAGCAAAGTAATTAGACTGAAAAAAAAACAGAAATACATAGAATTAATGGGAATTAATGCATTGTTTCCCTGGTGCCAGATATCAAACGTGTTTTTTTCTAGTGGTGATGCTTCATAGAGGGATGAAGTTTTGTTCCCTTTGGGAAGACAAGCACAACATATTATTGAAATAAGGCTTGTTTGATTGTTATTTTATTTTCTCTGTCACAGCTTCAAAATTAGATTGTGAGATCTGGACAGTATAAGTACATTCATGGAAATTTTGTACGACTGTAACATAAGAAAATGTTCTGACAGATTATGAAGGTTGTCATAAAATTCAGAACCAGTTATCAATGATATGTTCAAAGCCTGAAAAATTCAAGATAAGGAATAGGTACAGGCTGGTAGATGAACACTGATGTTTGGTGTACAACTTTTACAC